AAAAGAATCATTTTCATTTTGTAATGTTTCTTTTTTTTTGTTTTTTAAGAAATAAACACAAAGACTTCTTAGAGTTCATAGGTACGGAACTTGCCTCTTTTTTTAAAAAAAAGAAATTGTTTACACTATAAATCATTATTAACAAATTGTACCATTTACGAAGAAAATATGAAAAAATGTTAACGATAAAATTAAAAAAAGTAATAGAGTTAAGATGAATTCTGTTGTTGTTTTTTGTGGTTGTTTTCGTTGTATGAGGTGAAACAATCAATTCATCTTTTTTTTTCCCAATGATATTGATATATTATTTGTACTAATTTTTCATAAAATTTATTTATTGTGATATGGAATGAAAAAAACTTCTATCAGTTTTTATGGATTGTAATATCATTTATCAACACTTATGGTGACCTAAGGACGAAGAACATTTTTGTAAAATCGGTGAAACTATAATTTATGGATGATCTTTGAGCGATACAACAAAGACCTTTAGAATATTCACCTACATACTATGGTTAAATAAGGGTTATAAATAAGTGTGAGGAATTATGATTATGATACACAGTTGATGATTAGGGTTAGGAATTAGATTTACGGTTTTTATCACCAACTGATATCAGCTATAATGCCAAAACTTTATTTAACCAAATGGATGAATGAATTTTGTGCCGAAATCCAAGACCTGTTATCGTATACTTGAGTAGTTCATCCATAAATTATAGACTTGCTGTAGAATTTGAATTAAATTCAACGTTTCGCCTGGCCATCTGCTTCAGGATTATTTGTCAATATTTTTAATGTTGATTTATGATTAAATTGATTGTGCTGTTCATGAGTTTATAGTTAGGTGAAGTTATGATAAACAAACCTTCAATATTTTGTTTTATAAAATAGATGACATCAACTAAATAGTCAGTCCATAATAGTAATAATAATAATAATAATACAAATCACTACATATAACATAATAATCCGTATTTCTATACATAAGAAATCTATATTGTGATAAAAGACAATGGCATAAAAACATATCGAGAGCAAGTATATTTACTACATTCTTCCATTTATTTTCATGTCCATATCTTCCTTAAAACTAAAATATACAATCTTCTTCAAAACTAATTTTCATTTTTCTGTATACAAACACTTTAGTTCTTTCCCCATATTTTTACTTGTAAAATATATATTATATACAGAATCTGCTTTACATAATATGTGTTAGGAAAATAATGTAGATTAATGCTTTCTAAGATATAATTTTAAGAGCATAAATTTTAACCATATGCATCCACGTAGATAACTCTCTTTGAAAGAAACACCCTTATTGTTAATTAGAATAACTATATTTTTCATTTTACAATTATTCTATTAATAGGTATTTCATCAGAAGCTATTTAAGTGTGTACATGTAACAAATGATTGTTATCATATCAAAAACAACATTTCAAATGTGTAGAATATATTACGTAATAACAGTTTTTTGAAAGTCACTTGGTTACCTATGAATTGCTTATCTGATCAATAAATTAATATTATCATTTATCTAAAATATAGTTTGAAGTAAGAAATTTATTTGCCTATTTGTATTAAATGGAGCCAGTATTGTAGATATTAAAACTTAGTAGATATGTCCTAATATTTTAGTCCTCAGAATTTCTTTTCTCACTATATAAAATTTATCCTCGTAATTAATCTGTGAATTCAATACTCTGATAAACATATAATTGTGAACGATTCCCGTGAAATGATATTTCCTATGTTGCTAATCATTTTTTTCTTAAGATTGACCAATCCAAAACTATATCATTAAATAATTATCGATTATATATCATGGTCAATCACTTTAAATAGTTATTTTTGATTTTAAAGAAAAATGATTTTTATCAGAATGGGGATTTATGGTGATTGTAGTAATTCATGAATCGATCTAAGCTAAATCACCACTGATAACCTGAAAGAACTTGAAGGCCATTTCGTCCTGGCATGCGGCTCCTCAACAGTGCACGCCCACGATCCAGCATGTAGAATTCGAACCCAGGACCTTCGGTCTTGCACGGACGCTTAACTTCTAGACAAATGAGTCGGCATCCAACAGTGTTAATGTTAAACTTTAATCGATCCATGATCTTGCACAATCCTTCATCCACTGTTTGAAGTGGATAACTGTCTCTATCCGTATATCAATAGTGGTAATTTTAGGCTGTTTTTGCAGCCGATGAATAGTCATGAAGTAGAAATCAATTCATTTTATTTTGCAAACCTTATTGTTCTTGCTCCATCTAATCAATTTATAGTTCTATTCAAATAAAATTAACTGTAAACTAAAAAATTAAGTATAAACTATATATTTTCAATCATAAGCACATTCATTAACTCTGTAAGTGATTTGTTCAAACAGAAAAATGTAGAAATGTATAGAGAATTAGTAATAAATAACATTATGGTATATCAATTTATTGCAATCTCTTAATGTAGAACAATGAATTAATCTGAATACTGAATATAGTGATTCTTTCTAGAAAATATTTTAATGAATAAACATAAAAAAAGGAAAATGTTGATTAGTAAATATATTTGGGGAGTTAATAATGTTTAAAGATTAATGATCTTATTGAAGATAAAATCTAGAATATATAACAAGATGAATCATTTAATGTTATCCATACTTTGAATTGGATAATGAAGATTGGAGGGCATTGTTATAACTTGTGGCCGGTGTGCCCTGTTAATGTGTATGTAATGATACCGCCAATTAGAGAGCAGTGAACTATCGTTCGGACCAATGATGCATAAAACACATACGAGCAGTCTAGAGTCCTTATTGGTCCCGCTTCCTGCTTAGCCCAGCTAGTTAAGTCCAGAACACCGTTCTCAGCCTCTGCAATATGAGCCATTTATTTCAAACATACGGAGTTTATATACCAATTAAACAGATCACACAGTACCATAAAATAGAAACAACATTTGTACAAGATTTGGCCAAATGTGGCTGTGAATGTGGGAGACTGTAATTAATAGACTGGACATAACTCAGGAATGGTGAATCGGTTAATAATAGTTCATAGGTAAAAATAAGGGTCATAATAAGAGGGACATGAATATGTAGAGTTTATTTATTTAACATTTATTCAATAAAAATATACGTATAGTATTGGTCCATAAATGGATCCTAAAAGTTACCATTCATTATTCTTATTGGGACATAATAGGTACTAAATGTATAAAACTTAAGAAAATTCCATTTGGAAAAGTATACTTTGATTCTATGACTAATTAATAGTAATATTCTAGTGAACGAGAAAACAGGCAGGGACAAGTAATGTAGTTTAATACAAAATTACAAATATTTTTGTAAAATATGAGAATTATACATTAAATACTTCATTTGCATATTTCCATCATTTGCCTTTACATTCTGTATGATTCTTCCATTTCATAATTCATTTTTCTTTTCCATTCTCTTCAACTCGACTTTCTTAATCATCTGCTACCAGGTTTTGAGCTTCCGATGGGTCTTACATACTACTTATGTCGACAGACATAAGTAGCATACACTACTATACCATTAAATGTTGTAGTTAATACTTTGGAATCAACTGAGATCATTTGTATTTATTTCTATGGTTCACAATTTGCACCATATAAAATGTGAAGTAGTGATCTTAGTATATCGCTAAGACAAACAAAAAAAACACTTACAAAACGTTATTTAAAAATTTTTAGGATTATTAAGAATATTTAAACTATTGCTTTGTCCAATTTTAAGGCATTCCACCATAATGCATCAACGATGAGACGCGATACGGAACCAAAGATATTCAATTTAAGCTGAGAGGATGATATATTTTCACTGTTAAATTCGAATGTGGTCAAACCTTTTTGTAAATGCAGTTGTGATATTTTTTGTTTGCCAACTTTGTATCTGGCTATCATAATAGTTCGTCTGGGAAGTAAGTAATAAGCAGCTATAGCTTTTATAGCTAAATAGATGGTTTACAAAAATTCATCTATTGTATCATCTCTAGGCTTGGCCCCACTTATGTTTATTTGTATGGACTTTTAATGAGTTATGTACTGAAATGAAAAAGTTGACCACGTTTACTTGATTTTTGATTTCTGTGCTAATTGCAATCCTTGTTAAAAGCCTTTTCCAATAGTACAAACTACCCGAAAGCAATTGTTAAAACAAAATTTTAAAAAATAATTTGTCGAATGCATTTGGAAAATATTAATTGAATAAATATTCTGGAAAAAGCTGACCACATTTCATATCACACGAACTGATAAATTTTAGCTGTTTGGTAACTATATTTTGAACCTTGGTTCATCAGTTTTTGCTTTGAAACTGAAACTACTAGAAGTTATGACTCTATGTTTTTAGAGATTCATTACGTTTTACACTCATTACGATCGGCACCACTGTATTATCCAAAACATTCATGACACGAAGTAGTAGACGACGATATTTTAAACGTGGTAATCTTAAAATGAAACCAAACGTGTAGGAAGAGTGAGTTGATTAGTTTATGAATGATTGAGTGGAATTAAAAGCGAACGTATTTTGCGAAATGAGTAACCTTATATTTATGTGTTGAATAAAACAGTAAACTTATCTAGTGAGGTAAAATCGACAAGTATATATGAGTATTTACATATATGTGCACATGGATATGCGTGCACTGTTAAAGCTGTTTAAGTATATAAATAAATATCTAATAACAAATAGCACTGTAATATGTGTCACCTATCTTTAAAAGTGGTCAAATAAAAGGATGCACAGTCTAAGCGAATAATATGTGACAATACAAACTTATACATTTAAAATGACGCCTTAATTATTTTAAACTTAATGTTTGACTTGAGACATGAATTTAATCGAAATGAAAACATAATATTAAAAAGACGAAGTGAAGTGAAATGACCTCCTTTCAACGAATTTATTATCAAGTTTTCCAATGATATATATATGAAAACCTTTTGTGCTAAAGTACTAGTTCCGTGAGGAAATGTGAACAAGGAATAACCAAGATGATGTAATAGAGTGATTATAATACTAGATTACGCAATACGAATAACAACAATACACGTAATAAGCAAAGCGGTTGGGAGTTCCATACTTGAAAAATCAACAGTTTGATTTCAAGGTTTTATATCCGATTAATCCAAGTCTACTTTGATTTCTTTGTATCCAACTCCTAAATATAGCCGAAGCTCTTACCATCGATGAGCTCAAGCAAGAACTATGCGTTTAAAAGAAGTATGTCCTATCGTTATCGTTACCTTGGCCCTAACTATTATGATTACTGCATTTCTCCCTTTATTTATGTCTCATATTCTCATTATTTTATTCATAATTGCTCATGATATCACTTTACTTATTTTTTACATCTCTATGATCTTTAATGACCTTTAATTATTGTAACAAAACATTTTAATCAGAGAGGGCTTTTGTGGATATTATAGTAATTTGATAGTTGAATTCACGAGTCAGTTGAAGCTAGAACGAAACAGCCGTCCAGTGCTTTCATGTTTTTAATGGTCTAGCTTCAATTAACTCATGATTTCACCTACTGAATAAAAAACATTTTGGTTGTCTTACTACATTCACGTTATAATTCGTTACTAACTTATTAAGTGTATTGTCATTATTACGTAATCTAGTATTATAATCACTCTATTACGTCATCTTGGCTATTCCTTGTTCACATTTCCTCGCGGAGCTAGTACTTTAAGAAAAAAGATTTTCATACATATACGATTGTTTAGCTTGATAATAAATATGTTGAAAAGAGATCATTTCGCTGAACTTTGTGTTTTAATGTTTAAATGGGAATTACCTATCAATTGAAAACATAATAATCAACAAACGTTTTAATTCATTTAACTACATTTTAATATAATTATTTCTGGTTTTTTTTATTTAAAGTATTTTACAATTTTATCTTAAGATGAATTAAGATTTAGTGATTGATTGCTTTAGGTGCTATTATTCTTTGTCAACCGAAATTTCAATAATAATGTAATCATGTCATAGTGGACTTTACTCACAAAATTATGTTTAAGTATTGTATAGGCGTATGTAACGTCAAACAGAATGAAGAGTTTCAATAGATTGAAAACATGTTGTTTGCTGAACATTTGATGATCAGATGAGAATACAATTCAGATGGCGAAACACACCGGAAAAAAGAAAAATAGAAGATTAATGACTATGTATAATGTATGATATAAGTACTTTGTAAATTCTCATGTTACATAAATTCTTACTATCTATTGTTGTGTTTTACAATATTACTAATATTATAGTTCAAATATAGATTTAATCAAACAAATAATAATCAATCATATTGAATTATTGATTTTTCTCCAAGTAATTAAAATATTTTCTAAAGAAAAATGAAAAGAAATTTGATAAAATCAATAATTCTACTTAGTAACTTTTTCTTCCTTCACATAAATTATAAAAACAATATCAAACTGGAATGATTATCAAATTATTGTATTTGCTTTTAATTTATATCCTTATGGAGGTTTTTTTTTTTCTTTCTTTCATTCTGTACATCATTTACATTGTCATGAAAGAGAACATTATTTTTATTTTTTCGCTTAAACTTATCATGAACTTTTATACTATACAGATTATAAATGACATTTAATCAGAAATAATTCATTTGTTAAGAAGTTCAAGTTTTTTTTGTTTTTTTGCAATCTAGCAACTACTTATTACAAATAGAAGAACAATATGAACAAACAAACAACTAAAAAAAAGATGAGAATATAATTGAAATTAATAATAATATGAAATATGATTTGTTTCATTTATTTTGTTTGATTTGATTTACATAATATTCATTCATGTCAAATAATAAATTATCATATAAATAAGCATTGGTAATCAATAAATTGATTTGTTTATTCCTTTTTTCTTGCAGGAATACATTGAATTAATGAATTGTATTCTATTTGTTAGATCACTTTGATTCTACTGAAATAAGTAGTAGATATAATAAGAAATAAAATTGTTTTCAAAAGTACCCAATGTTTTTTTTTAATATTTAGGAGAGAAACTGAAATCAATGTTTCAATCTTAATCTTATCTTCTTTGTTTTAGTAAATAGAGTATTATATACATGGTTAATTTTGTTATAAAAGATCAATAATGGATAAATATGTAAAGGAGTGAAATGATCATTCAATCTTTCATTATATTTTTATTTAAATAAATAGATACAGGAATTAATAATTCTTGATTTGATCTAAGTTTCATATTATTTGATTGATTGATACAATTACATAGAATAGTTGATGTATCTGGAATTGTTTGATGAATTAAATTCCTTTGAAAATTAAATAATAATTTCTCTGGTTTATTTGATCTGAATACATTTAGTTCAGATTGTTGATTATTAAATTTGTAGAATGATACATCATTATTGAATTGATTAAAATGTATTAACCAATTAGAATTGATAGAATTTTGTTGTTTTTCTATATTATTCAAATTATATTTATTTATGTGTAATGAAGTTTTTGATTGACAACATAAATTGACATTTGATTTTGTTTCATATTTAAGAATCGGTAATTTATATGGTTTATCATTTGATTGAATTGAATGAGATCTATTTAAATCTTTATCTATTTGATAATTTTTATAAATGTCATTTGTTTGTAATTGTAGATTATAATGTTTATATTTATGTTTTTTAAAGCACTTCATTAATTTTTGAATAATTGAATTAGAAAACCATAATCCACATAAAATAATTTGTATAATGATTAATGTAAAAAATGCTAATGTAGCTGGTAAAAGTAAAATTTTATATTCAATCCAATTTAATTTTTGTTTTGTATTATATTCTTGATTCCAGAATAGATTTGATGAATCATTTAAAGGATAATGAATTTGTGTTGATTTTAATTGAGGAGAAATTGATGTATTTGAGAATAAATCAACTAATGAATAATAGAAGGAAGAAAAAAACTGATTCAATGTACAAAAGTCTAGTAAAAAAGAAACTCAGTAAAAAATGTTTAAATTTCATTGGTCACTGATTCGTAAAAAAAAACATTCATCTAGTTCTATTGAACACAGAAAATATGCTTACTTATCTAGATGGCTCAACAACTCATTCATTATGTTTTGGTATATGGTGATTATTTGTCAATTATCACTCGTCAAATTGTCACACTTAAAGGTTTGAGAGGATTAAGTCTTATTTCATACTTTGATGAAAGGTGACATAGGTTCGGAACTCAGTAAAGTCACCAGTTTTATCAAGATCAATGATATATCTCTCTTACAAGAGCCAGCTTGTAATAAATATCAATCCAGTATATTTATGATCCTTTTCTAATAAGAATATTAATAAATTATGAAGTACACCATACTGAAAATTATGTTTTTTCGATACAGGAGTATTTATTGTGGAACATCATTCAGTGCTTTCAATAACTCTAATATTCATACAAAATAATAAATGATTACATAAACACTTCTGTCACGAGCATTTTCACAAGCCTTCTTTGGCCAATGAATGTAAACTTAACCATTGAATTACGATGGTAACTTAATTCCTAGAAAATTAAAATCGAAATTTGTTGTGAAAAATTTGAGAAAAGTTTATTACTTTTTATCAAATTTATCGATAAGATAATAGTAGATCACCAAGTGATTTATTATCCCTTAAGTTTGATTTCATTTTATTTTATAAACCTGTCTCTTAAATAATTAATTATATAGCTCATTTAGTAATGGGGTTTACTTAATCATCCTCAAATAAAGCATGACAAATGAGTTCACTTTATACAATAACGTAATATGGATAAATATTTTATAAGCGAATATACTTTGGTGGTTCATTATATAGGGGCTTTTTAAAAAGCTTAAATATTTGCATTATCGTAATTCGGGAAATTAACTTGAGAAAATATATTATTTCAGTAATTCTTATTTGGCTCCAGACCATTTAATCCACCGTGGCTTCTAGTAAGATGAAAAATGTATACAAAGGTAACTCATCCTGGATTCCTTCCGGAGGCTACTGCCGGTCCTAAGCCCGGATAAAAGAGGAGGTTCGGGTATGGGGTTAGCGACACCACCCCGTAGAAAACTAACTCACTAAAAAAACGCTAACCAGAAAAAATTATTTTAACTCTGCCCTGGGATTCAGGGCCTTATGATGAAAGCCGAGTTCCTTCGGAAGTCACGAGGCCTATGCCCCTTTTGACAACGAGAGCAACCATTTATTTAGGTACATGAAATACTCGTACAATGTAGGACACCGGGAGAGCCTCCAAAATTGCTGCAGAAATGAGGAGATACAACCTAGAAGTTCTTGGGATCAGTGAAACACACTGGACGCAAGTTGGACAACAACGACTAGCTTCAGAAGAGGTTCTGTCATACTCTGACCTTGAAGAAGAAAATGCCACACTTACACAAGGAGTTGCATTGATGCTGTCCAAACAAGCACAAAATGCACTTATAGGATGGGAATCTCATGGACCAAGGATCATCAAAGCCTAGTTCAAAACAAAGAAAGAGAGTATTTCAATGAACGTCATCCAATGTTATCCGCCTACCAACGATTACAATGAAGACGCTAAAGATCAATTCTACGATAGGCTGCGGTCAATCATCGAGAAGCGCCCAACAAAGGACCTGACCATTCTGATGGGAGGTTTCAATGCCAAGGTTGGAATGGACAACACCGGATATCGAGACATCACGGGACGACACGGACTGGGAGAAAGGAACGAAAATGGTGAGAAATTTGCAAACCTATGTGCCTTCAATAAACTGGTCATAGGTGGAACTATATTCCCACATAAACGCATTCACAAAACCACATTGACTTCACCGGATCACACTACACAAAACCAAATCGACCATATCTACATCAACAAAACGTTCAGGAGGACGATGGAAGACGTGAGAACCAAGAGAGGAGCTGATATAGCATCAGATCATCACTTGCTGGTCGCCAAGATGAAATTGAAACTCAAGAAGCACTGGACAACGGGGCGGACAATATCACAATAGTTCAATACGGCCTTTCTTCAGGATTCTAACAAACTCAACAAATCCAAGATAGTCTTCAGCAACAAGTTCCAGGCCTTTAATGATCTACTCAATGGAGAAGGAACTACTGTGGAGAGCAAATGGAAGGGGATCAAAGAGGCAATCACTTCAACATGTCATGAGGTTCTGGGTCACAAGAAGCACCATCACAAGGAATGGATCACTGTTGATACACTGGATAAGATCCAAGAAAGGAGGAACAAGAAAGCAGCAATCAATACCAGTCGAACAAGAGCAGAAAAAGCCAAGGCCCAAGCTGAATACACAGATGTAAACAAGCAAGTAAAGAGGAGCATTAGAACGGACAAACGTAAATATGTGGAAGATTTAACAACGACGGCAGAAAATGCTGCAAGAGAAGGAAACATGAGAGAACTGTATGACACAACAAAGATACTGTCTGGAAATCACCGTAAACCAGAACGATCAGTGAAAAGCAAGGAAGACAAGGTAATCGCCAACATTGAAGAACAACGAAACAGGTGGGTAGAATACTTCAAAGAACTCTTGAAACGACCAGCTCCACTGAACCCATCCAACATCGAAGCAGCACCCACGGACCTCCCAATCAATGTCGGCCCACCGACAATTCAAGAAATCAACGTGGCCATCAGACAAATCAAGAGCAGCAAAGCGGCAGGACCAGACAACATTCCAGCAGAGTCACTGAAAGCAGACGTAGAAGTGACTGCAAAGATACTCCACATTATCTTCAATAAGATTTAGGATGAAGAACGAGTACCAAGAGACTAGAAAGAAGGACTTCCGGTCGAAATACCAAAGAAAGGCGATCTCAGCAACTGTGATAACTACAGGGGCATCACTCTTCTCTCAATACCGGAAAAAGTCTTCAACAGGGTATTGTTAAACAGAATGAAGGACTCCGTAGACGCCCAACTTCGAGACCAACAGACAGGATTCCGTAAGGATAGATCGTGTACAGACCAAATTGCAACTCTATGGATCATTGTGGAACAATCAATTGAATGGAATTCATCACTCTACATCAACTTCATTGACTACGAGAAAGCATTTGATAGCGTGAACAAAACAACACTATGGAAGCTTCTTCGACACTATAGCGTACCTGAGAAGATATTCAATATCATACGGTATTCTTATGATGGATTAAACTGCAAAATCGTGCATGGAGGACAGTTGACAAACTCGTTTGAGGTAAAGACCGGTGTCAGGCAAGGTTGCTTACTCTCACCCTTTCTCTTTCTCCTGGTGATCGACTGGATCATGAAGACGTCAACATCTGAAGGCAACGCGGGATACAATGGACATCTAGGATGCAGTTGGACGATCTAGACTTCGCAGATGATCTGGCCCTTCTATCCCAAACGCAACAACAAATGCAGGAGAAGACGACCAGTGTAGCAGCAGCCTCAGCAGCAGTAGGTCTCAATATACACAAAGGGAAAAGCAAGATTCTCCGATACAACACAGCATGCACCAATCCAATCACAATTGACGGAGAAGATTTGGAAGATGTAAAAACCTTTACGTATTTGGGCAGCATCATTGATGAACAGGGTGGATCTGATGCGGATGTGAAGGCGCAGATCGGAAAAGCAAGAGCAGTATGTTTACAACTGAAGAACATCTAGAACTCAAACCAACTGTCAACCAACACCAAGGTCAGGATTTTCAATACAAATGTCAAGACAGTTCTACTGTATGGGGCAGAAACCTGGAGAACTACGAAAGCCATCATCCAGAAAATACAGGTGTTTATTAACAGTTGTCTACACAAAATACTTCGGATCTGTTGGCCAGACACTATCGGCAACGACCTACTGTGGGAGATAACAAACCAGATCCCAGTGGAGGAAGAAATCAGGAAGAAGCGCTGGAAGTGGATAGGACACACATTGAGGAAAGCACCCAACTGCGTCACAAGGCAAGCCCTCACATGGAATCCTCATGGCGAAAGGAGGAGAGGAAGACCAAAGAACACATTACGCCAGGAAATGGAGATAGACATGAGAAAAATGAACAAAAATTGGACAAACCTGGAAAGAAAGGCCCAGGACAGAGTGGGTTGGAGAATGCTGGTCGGCGGCCTATGCTCCATTAGGAGTAACAGGCGTAAGTAAGTAAGTAAGTACTCATGAATGTCAAAGACATAATAACAACAAAATGGTAACATTTATATGGTAGATTTTACTTGAACAATTACGTGTTAAAAATATACAACATAGAAAATCGATCGAAAAATTTACACATAACGCTTATAAACACAGAAAAACACGTTCAATTGATATATTTTGCGGTTTATTAGGACTAATCAAATGTAGATGTAACAAAATCTTCACTCCATTAAATTCTATAATGGTGTAATTAAACTCAACTTACATTTTCTGGAATGTTTCTTTGTCTGCATTTCTTCAGTAGTAACATTGTGATTGGTAATATCTGTATTATTACCAGACACTAGTTTAACGCTTAAACGAAAATTATTCTGTTGACATATCACAGACTGAGCTATTAAATTACAAAATAAATATTTAAAGATTTTATTAACTAAAAAAGAAGTTGGAATCTGAACCAAAGAAATGTCAATTCATGATAAGAAATGCAGATGGATCTCATATTATCTCTCTTCTAAAAAAATGAACTATAATACTCTGTTTTTATTAAATGTTATGTCTGGTTATGCACTGTTTATTTACATTCATTATTGTTACATTGTACCTAAACTTTTTTAGTTTTTATCTATTGGGTCTTTTTTTTAAGAGGTTTATGATGATTGGTCATCTTTTGTTGGATACTTAAATGTGATAAGCACATAAATAATCCAGAATCTTGTTGATATAAAAAATAGCATTCTGATATGTGGCTACATAACCAGAGTAAATCGAAGGCTATTCACTAAAGTTATTCTGTCACTTAAAATATAGTTATTCATAGGTTTGTATGTATGTATGTGTTTGAAGTTTATACGATAATTTCTTGCTCATCTGACGTCAATATAAGGAATTTTCACAAAACTGCCTGTTAAACTGATTTTAGTTTGGTACTGTATTTGTGAAACATAACAGCGTTTACCTGACAATTATGACTGTAAACTATAAGTTTTTTTTCAAACAACAATGAAGCAAGCATCGTTCATCTTAAACATTGTACTAACCACATTTTGTGTGACCTATACACTTAGAACAACATTATTAACTATTCGTATACGAGCACAAATATCTACATAACTAATACCATAATCTCTTTACTTCGGGTAGCACTTTGAATTCTAAATAAACGTATGGGATATTCAGTGTTGAACATGGAGACTCATAATTCATCAAAGAATATTCAACTGTGCAATTATATAGCATTAGTAGTAACAAAAGTTCAAATGACTTGACAGAAAAAACAATATTCTTTTATTTCGACTAGCAAGTTATACAGATTTTTGTATGTCTACTTCTCCATTGTCTACATATCAGACTTGTAACAAAAATCCGACAATAGAAGAAATAAAATAATTTAGACATTGCGATGAACTAGACTGAACAAAATGTAGAAAATCAGTTTATAATCATGGTTTATAAAATTACAAACATTAATTCTGAAAAGAGATAATTCATGCATAACAGTCGAAACATATTCATAGATGAGTAAAATGTTATGATATAGTATAGCCATTATATGAGGTAATGCTTAAATGTCAGGGAGAAGAGTTTAGTGTTTGATGAGACTAAGACAAAACAAATTTTAAATACCACCCAAATATTTCTCTTTTCGTAGTAAGGGTAACTAAAATAGTTTTATATACTTTACTGTTTCATACAAACTGAATAAAATAATAAACAGTGTGTACTGTTGTCGACATTTGCATTCTAGTCATAGTATGTGGTCTTTCGACTATTAATATTTCACCTAAACTTTTTAATACTATTGTATAATACAGTGATAACATTTTTAAGGCAATTGGGATATTGTTCATCTTTGCATAGTATGCATAGATTAGCTGCATTATAGAGGCATTGTATTTTAAATCTTGTCACTTCACACTTTGTAAATTATGAGCGTAATAAATTTTCAGTGTAATCAACTGGTCGAGCGAAATTGAATCTTTTGAATAACAGTCTATTTCATCTAACCTCAGCAGTTATTTGAATGCTTGTTCAGTTGATTGTTAGTATTTTTAATGTTCTCTAAAACATTTAGTGTACAAAACTTTGACTAGACACCTTTTTACCAAATATAATAAGCGCAATATGTCAGGATGCCTGATCAGTTTTTTCACTAATTCGGAATCTATAACATTTAAATAATTGTCAACTAGTCACATTGTTTCGATCAAAGTTTTTGAGATTCACCACTTTCCTATGAATTTTTATAGCAACAGACATATTTATTTTCAGCGTGTGACTCTACAAATGTTTTGACATAGAATCAAATTCATCAGTTGAGTATAATTTATAAGTTTTGGTTGTTTAAATCATCCCATTTATATTTACGACTGCAATTTGTCAGTCTCTTCTGATGCAGGTACATCTTCTGCCGATTGTATCAATGTAGTCATTAAGTCACAGGCATTTTCAAGTTGATATAGATGATAACTAGCAGTGTAGTTCATGATACGCTTTTCATCTTATTTCAGACTCACCAGATGAATGTACCCGCACCTCAGAAATGATATTTACTCCAGGACTCAGACCCGCCACTATTCACTTCAAAATAATACATACATATAATTTAAAATCCGCTCCATTTCATAGGCCAATAGCCGTCTAAAATCACTAACTAGGTGGATGACGCAATAGAGTTTAAGGTGAACGTCACTTGATTCGAGTCTCTGAGTGAAAATCAACTCCAGCATGTAGGTACACCAACATAAAAAAGCTGGAAGTACTAGTTATCTAGCTTCAATTGACTCATGAATTCAAGTATTAAATCACTATAATATCCACAAAATCCCTCTATGAAAATGAAATGAATTTATAAAAACATAGATATTATTACATTAGTGTTTTGACAAATGAAAACACTTTATTCAAAGAACCTTCAAATATTGCCTAATCAAATAGTTTAAGAATCAATGTACAGTTATTGATTTTGTGCCATAGTATTGTGTTATATTTTATAACTCATGAAGATCTGCGTTTAGATATAAAACAAAACGAATAGAAACTAGCGTTTCTATAGAGTATAGTCTATATTTCTCATAAATATCTGAGACATTATTTAAGAATGCAAACCGTACTAATAATGATTATGTTTACTGAATTAAAAATCATATTAAAAATTTTATACTCACCTACGAAATAAACAGGAATTTCTGAATGAAAACTTGGTAGTGATGCGATTTCTGGAAACGGCTAACTTTAAGAACGAATTCTGTAACTGACTTGTTTCCAAAACAATCCAAAAGTTTAATAACTTTAATAGGTAATGTTTTATTACATTTTAATTGTACACGTGGATCATCTGTCTATTCATATTAATAAAAATGCAAAATATAAAGAAACAACACTTGGATACTAATGCTTGAACAGATCAAGTAAACAGTGTTTAAATATCTATAAACATTGTTGGACCAAATTATATTCAAGTAAAAATTCAATAATAACCTGAAGATTATCACAATGTATACATCAGTTGGATGGTTAACAATGATATTCATTTATCATCTCTCGATTTACGAACAAAACTAACTATTCACATTCACATTATATTAGTCTGTATTATTCCATGCCAAATAAACATAAAACTTATTAAAAATAAGTAATACAGTTGGCCCATATGTCCTGATCCTTATTCTTCCTTACACGAAATAATATGTACTATCCTAAGAGTCAAATTGTGTTAAACAAATAAGTTCTGTTTCTTTTAAACGTAATCGTTTATTAGCTGAACTAATGATAATCAATAATAAAATATTAAAGTCTTTTATTAAATAACAAGTTGAATAAATTTCAGTTGCAAATGGAGAACTATCGTTTAAACTTTGTTACAGATGCAAAAAACACTTATTACATAAGACATATCCCTTTTAACATAATTTGATTGAGTATGACAAGCAATTTGTAATTAAAAGAAAGTTATTAAAATGTTTATAATTAACGAAATTAAGTTGAAAGCTTTATTAACAAATAAGTAAACTCCTTATAAAGTGGTTGCTAATTAATTCTCATTTTATATTTGGATATTATATAACTAACTTTAGAATTGTCTACATTGATTATCTCACTAATTAAGCATAACTACTCAATAGATATAATGTAACCTAAGTGTCAACATATTTGTAGACAATATCGTTAAGAATAGATTTACCGGTAGATTTTATCTGGCAAATCATACGAAAACGACATATAAAGCAAGCTATGTTTATTGACTTATTATGACTAGTTTTCTCTGCACAAGTGATAACCAGCAATGTTTATTTGTAGATATATGATGCAACAAGTTAAAAATACAAAAATATTTATCGCTTATAACATCAAGAAAACAATAATCATATTATTACAATATACAAATACATATTCATATTGTTAAATGTATAATACATACCCAATAGAGATTTTGAGAAAATGTTCGATTTTTTGGACAGATAAATATTAGATTGTCACCCTCAGTAGCATAAATATCATTTGATTTTCTTTGAACCTAGAATATTTAGAAAAAAAACTGTTAACATGATTTACAGGAACTCAAATTTACCGTTTGAGAAATTGACGAACCATTGAGTTGGTTTTATTTTTCTCATTATATTTGTGACTATTCTTAATGTTTTAAATATACTAAATATAATATTTCGTTAAATTATCATTAGGTTAATGGCTATTATTTGGTCGAGTAATACAATAGAACATCGGAATAAAAAATGAATGTATCTAGAATATGTTTTTCGTTCACGTGTTTGATAATATAGTGAATAAAAATCTCTAGAATTTCCACACTGATGGCATCTGTTTTGTAGATGCATTATAAATACTTATTAGTGGATAAAGTTTATTCCTAGAAAGTGAATATATATCTCTTGATCTCAACTATTGAAATTACTACAATGTCCACAAAACCCCTTCTGATCCTTATATATATATATATATATATATATATATATCGTTGAAATTCTTCAATAACTAAAAATAGGAAAATTATATTTTGTCTGAAAGCAATCAGAAAAATCATTCCTAAATCAATACAGGCAACATATCACATTTAATAATTAATAAAGCTTGAATAAAGATTTTACATTAATCAAGACAAAATATGAGATAAGAAAGTGGATAAGAATTAAATACGTGGTATTGAGAATTATAAATATATAGTTGATAATTTTTAAATTTGACCTAAGCTGAAAATTAATTAGGCTATATGATTGTGTGGAATTAGGAAACTAACATATTGTTAGTGTTATATAACTGATATATGATCTTAACTTGAAATTGTAAGATTATTGATCTTAATAAATATAGGTAAGATGGAATGTGACAGATAGTGAAGTTAAAATAACTATTTGGTCAAGAATGAGGTAATATGTAAATTAATATGAGTTGGGTAAGAATTAGTAAATAGCAATAGATGTTAAATAAGTGACACAGCTAACTTGAAGCAATAACATATTGTGTCAATAGTTATCTGCCTAAATTGGCCAGACTATGAATCATTCAGACGGCTAAAGCGATAGATATTTAAATTGAAAACCCTCTGTTCTTTTCTTGGATAGCTTGTAGCCTAGTTAGTTAACATAATTTGCATTAAGAATACACGAATTTCTCCTTGGTATTTTCATAGCTTAAACTTATTCAAAAATCTTATTATGATTTTAACACTTGTAAATGTTTTGATGAATGAAATTAGCACTCACTCTGACTTACTAATTCTTACCCAATTCATATCATCTGGCATATTACGTAATTGTTGACCAAACATTTGTTTTAACTTGATATTATTTCATTAACTTTCATCCCATCTTAGCCATATTTATTCTAATCAGCAATCTTACAATTCCGTTTAACGTATAAGTTTATTCAAGTTAAAATCATATACCAGTCATCTCAACGACACTAACAATTTTATTTTACAAACAACTCTAAATTCAGATTCCGTAATTTCTATCGATGTATTTGTCTTAAACGTTGCCAGTTTTGGGATGATTAATTTTGATATTTAGTTGTAGAACTTGAAGAAATATTCTTCGGTCTTATTTCTGTATTATTAAAATGGGAATTTTCCAGTGATCATCTTGTTCAGTTATGTATATTATTAGTAATTTATCAAAAAAATCATCATTGTGTATAGGGATACGCCTATAAACATCCTATTACAGTGACTAAAATATGACAGGGATAAGTAATTAAACAATGTTATTTGTTAAAGTGGTGTACTTTTACATCGATTACATCCCATATGTGTCATTTGATAATTGAAAAGGTCATTTATGTCAGAGTTAGGAAAATTAGTTGTTGTGTCCGACTACAATCATATAAAAAAAGTCAAATAAGTCGTATGAATAAAATATTTTGTCGGGTTAATTGACAATAAGTAATAGTAATAAAACTCTACGTCGAATGCTATTAGACTATAGAAAGAAAGAAAGAAAGGTTTTATCACCAGGTTTAATATTTTACGGTAAGCATGGTTATGCTGATGTCCAATTGGGAAACCTATTTATCTATATATAACACTTCGGAACCGCAACAGAGGTCGAACTAGAAAGTTTTAAGAGCATTCCGATTGACTGCTGTAATCAACGGGAAAGCTCTGAGCATTACATAAAATGTATATTGACTAAAATACATTTAGAAGCTATTTATAAGATTATATCTGACAAGCAATAATGATCACCAAACGGCCACAACTAACGACAGGGTTAAATTTCTAAAATAACATACGTCTGATTTCACCTGAAATGTACGTAGATCTTTCCGTATTAGACAATATTTTTATCAGCCATACTACATATCAGACCATTACATGAAATATGGAATAAGCTAGAATACCACTTTAGAAATGTAAATGACAAACCAATTGTTTGTCAATTGTATCAGTAAACAAAGCCATTAAACATCGTCAAAAAGTTCATTTAGTTATTGAATTCACTACTGAAGTGAAACGTGATAAAATTATAGCTTCCCTCGATGTCCTCTTTTCGAGAAGGATGGACGGTTTTATTAAAAGGAATCTTTTTGGCTAGAATATTTCCAGATTTAACAGTATTCCCATTTCCATGGATTTGCGCTATATATTTCAAACATCTTAGTTACATATATACTTATCAAGGCATTTTATATGAAATTAGTAAATGTCAATTAAATGAAGATCCAAGTAAACGAAGTAATAATTGTAAATAAAGAAGAGATAAAATTAACATTATATGAAAAGAACACCAAATTGTCGCATTACCCTAGGCTATAAAATGACTTAAAGATTACCAGGGAAAATTCAAGGTTACAACAAATTATTTTAATACATATAAGGAGGGTTCAGTTATATGAATAACCAAAGTTTTTGTAAACCTAAGAATTCATTCTTGATAATCTCTATATTCAACGTTTTGGAGGCTGTATTGATGTCAACTCTGTGCTCTATTTCAATTATATGCTTTACTATCGAAGGACATGGTTGTCTACCTTCCACGTTGAACAGAACATTTGACACCGATTTTGAAGGTATATACCTGTTATATACAAAACATTTTAACCTTAACTATCCTTTTATTTCAACAGTCTTTGTTCGTAAAATATCGCTGACATATACGGGGCTGTTCCATCGCATTTTAACTCCAGCTTCTCAATGTGGATATTGATGAGAATATAGGGATCAAACTAAAATACATTTAAATAGATAAGCTTAAAAATAATGAAAACAAGATTTGAATCTTTTCTTCCAAATTTCTATATTTATATGATCCAGTGTTAAAAAACAACAGGGAAAGATATATATATATATATATATATATATATATATATTTGTTGTGGAATATTACCTCTTAAGGCTGAATAGCCTCACATGTTGCTATGCATATGATTACATTAGCTGTAATTATTTTCATAATAATAACATAATAAACGAATATGAAAATTATTTAGTTAGTTATTCATTCAGTATTTCATTTTATCTACATTTAGATAAACTTTTGTTTCAATTACAGTGACATCATGAGAACAAACGTTCTCCTGAAATGTCATAAAGTCGACCTAATAACAATTTATAACTTTAAAGATTAAAAATAATATGTGAAAATTTGTGATGCGTTGAAGATTTTTAAGAGAAGACGGAAGTTTACATGAGCGCAAAGATTTTAAGAATTGACGTGAAAAAAAGGCATGACTTGAGACATTCATCAAAAAAACTTAAGTCGAGTAATTTCTCTCGATATTCTGTAGCGTATTGTCACTAGGCGATTCAGTGACTTGAATGTTTTATGCGACATATGATACTTAGATCGTTGACTAATTCATCATAAGCATTAGTTTCTGCCTCATTCAAGTCACTGAATCGCTTGGTGACAATAAGCTACAGAAAAATAATATAATCAGTTATAAATACAGAATCTCAATACAGGTAATGTAAGCTAAGGAAAGAATAAAATACATAAAACGAAATTTTGTCGAGACTTCATAAACATGAAGTAAAATTTCTATCAACTGAAGATGACTGAGTGATGGTCGGTTACTTCATTTATTAATTCAGTCAAATTATTAAAAAAATCTCATGTATGAATAAACCATCAACGATTCTTCATTTATCTTATCAGTAAAACAAATCGGCATGATATTTATTTATCATTATAATAGAAATTTTTTTGTTTTAATTCGATGACATTTTGGATTAGCTCTTGTATGTAACAATTGTTTAGTTACATGGTGATTATTGAAGTTTACATTTGCAGTAACTAAGGTAAATACTTTAGAATTTTTTGGACATAATAAATTAAATCTAGTAATTGCTAATATTTGTACATTTTTATGTACTTAAATCTCTATGAGAAATTGACGATATCGGTGAATAATAATTGCGTATTGCGTAATACGAAAAAGAATGCTGTAACATTTTTTCTTTGAATTTAGTGAATATAGATTACTTTAATCATGAAAAAATGATTTATAAAATATTTAGTTTTTTTTATTTTTAAACATTCGCGAACAAATATCACATTTCAATTCCTGCATATATTTGAAACATACAGTTTAAAACATTGAGAACTACTTAAAATTAATGAGGATATACATATATTGGAATTCATGAGTTAATTGAAGTTAGACCACCATGGAGAACCTGAAAGCACTGGATGGCCATTTCGTCCTATTGTGGATCTTCTCAGTAGTGCGCAACCACGATCCTGCCTTGAGAGGTTCGAACCCAGGACCTATTGGTCTTGCGCTCGAACGCTTAACCTCTAAACCTTTGAGATGGCATCCAACGGTGTTAATGTCTAACTTCAACTAATTCACGAGATTGAGTCACCGTTCACCATTGTCATCAGCGATTTACTATCTCACAACATACCCGCTTGAACTCCACTGGTCATTGCTTCTCCGTAGAACTCAAGAAGATACCTCTTGAAGCTAGGTGTTTTGTAAAGATTTCAGTGATTTAATAGTTGAATTTATGAGTCAATTGAAGCTAGAACAAAACGGCCATCCAGTGCTTCCAGGTTTTCCATGCCGGTCTGGCTTCAAGTGACTCATGAATTAAACTACGAAATTATTGATAACTCCACAAAAATCCTTCTGATAATATACATATATGTTTGACCTTAATACACATTTTGTGTTTCAGTCTGACAATTTTGTGTTCATCGTCGTATTTTTATACACACCTTTATGTTTCGTTGATTGATTATTTTTGAATCCTTTTTTCCCTCTTCTAAACAGTTTATAAATCTACTGTCTGAATAACATTTTGTTCACTGAGCATAAAAAATGATCTCTAAAGAAATAAAAATCGTTTAGTATTCTTTTGCCGCAGTTTCTTTGCTTTTTCTCAGTAAGGGTAATTATTGTATGCGTAATAGTGATTGGTGACTTCATAGTATGATCTAAGGATCCCATGTTTTAGATCGTATTTTATGACAAAAGTGTTTTCAGGACTTACTAATTTGATGTTTTTCGTCAACGAATAACAGTTCAAGATGAAAAATCACTTCAATTTAAATTAGAAAACGCACAGTTTTTATTTCACTAGTTTTTTGACACTTCTCCTCTTGCTATTATCATAACTGTAAAACTTGAGGAATCTGGGTGTAGATTCACTGGTGTTATGAGAAGTTACTGAAAAAGTCTACTGATGATGTAAAATGTATTCTTTAAATATTTAAGTAAACTAATAAACTTAACGACAGTAGGATTAAAATCAGTGAACGTAAGCCTCCAAACCACAATTTCCCGAAATGTGATTCATGAAAATACTGAAGTGTCATATTAAGAAAGACGAATTCTTCGTGTCTTACATTTTAAAGTGAACCTAAGTAATTTGCATAAACGTAAATAAGTAAGGTTGATTTGGTTGTAGAAATTATAATGACTAGTATATAAATAAAGAAAATCATCATGGACTTCCGTACTCCCGAATATCTTAACTTGATTACGGGAGAATAATTGAAGTTCAGTTATTTGCAATGTTTATACATGATTCACATTAATTTTTAGCTGATGCAGTAGCATATATACCGATAAATACTTATCTTTCTATTAAAATATACTTCTATTAATTTCATTCGTTTTAGATTTTGGATCTTAGTAGATGGCCTAAAGAAGGAAGATTTCCAACTCCGTAACAAGAATATAATGTATATTAAATTCGAGCTTTTATTTTTCATTAGTCCTATGTTTATCAATATTTTAAAGGGCATAGTCATGAATCTGACCATTTTAGTATGTTTTTATTTTATTTGCTGTACATCTAAAAGTGCCCGAACTATATAAACT